TCTGGCTATTGCCATGGTAACACAGTCCAAAGCTGCTTCACGGCTGACTGCGGATCACTGGGAAAAGCTGCCTAGGTGACTTGCTGCTCTTCTCTGACTTAATAAAAAAAAGAAAGAACAAAAATATACCAAACTTTGCATACCAAAAGTACCCATTTATCCAAAATAGGATTCAGATTTATTTGTGTCCACCCAAAAAAGGACACAATTGTATGCTTTTAAATAATAATTTACTTGTTATTTTGAAATCTTTGAGGTGTTTGTGTGCTATTTTAGTGTTTTCAGAACATATAATGGTAACTGTGTAAGGGCCTCATTTGGGCATGCTCCTATGGTTGGTTTTTGTTTTGTTCTGTTTTTCTTTTCTTCATCCTTGGTTCAAGACCTATTAATAAGGAGCCCTAAAGAGCTGGACAGCCTCTGCTTGGGTTAACCATGCCTGATGCCCTATGTGGGAGGCAAGGAAGGAGTCACGCATAGCTACCCTGGTATCATAAAGCCCATCAGTCCAACCAATGCTTACCACTTCTTCATAAAATAACCACCAGACTCTTAAGGGAAGCTACACCACCTTAAATTCACAGTACTATATTTAACATATTGCAGACTCCCAATAGAGGCTGAATAAATTATATAAGCAAATGGTCTTGAGACTCTTGTGAATACCTCCAATAATGGGGAACCTACTCTTCCTAAGACAGCCGCTTTCACACAGGAAGCTTTATTAGTCTGTGTGTGAAGTAGAGGGCAGAATAGGGGATTTCTCACCAGCTCTTAACCACATGCTTCCAACGTGCCACTCATTTTCCCTGAACCCCAGTTTCCTCATCTGTATGAGCAGGAAATGGTACCAGCAAACAGGAGCAGAAAGTCACGGCTAGAAGGCAAGTTCAGAGCCCACAAGCTCAGCTTTCCCACCAGGCACCATTTGGCTTCTGCTCAGAGAGGTTTGAGTGTTTAAGGCATGATCCTGGAACCAGACAGCTGGGTTCTGATCCCTGTTCAAATCCTGATCAACTACCTTAACTGTTCTTTACACACATCTGCATATAGGTAAAAAATTGACAAGTACAGTACTTTATCATCTGCCTGATGTAGGGACTGAGTACGTCCGTATCTGTAAGGTATTTATGCCTAGATTCTCAGGAAGCCTGGACAGTGATACAGCAATTGTTATGAAGTCTGCAATCCATCATACCAGTCAAAGAGCAGCGATAAGATTACAGTCTTTCTCTTAGATGCTTGATGTGAAGGATACAGGGAAACAAAGAGGTGGAAGGTCAAGAAAGTAGTTTCTGCAATTCTAGGTAAGAGGTGCTGCCAACACAAAGGGGCAAATGTAGAGAAAGGGAAAGGAAATGGATTTCTAAATCAATTTTTGGTGAATCCCTTGATGCTGCTGGTAGGGAATGGAATCATTAGAGAGAAGATAGGATTTTGACTGAACTGATGTGTACATTAAAATTTCACTGGAAATTAGTTTTGCCTGCTTCAGGCTGTAAGTTTTTTCCCCAACCAATGGTCCTGGTATACAGCAGGCACTTAGAGTTTGTTGAGTAACTGTTATCCTCACAGGACACAAATCCAGCAGAGGGACACACCTTCCTCTAGATGCATTAGAGAAGAATGGGTGAAAATATGAAATGACTGCTAGAAGCTCTTTACATTCTCTACAGTTTTAAGTGAAAATATAAAATGATATCACCAAGATGATAATCATCATCACCAGATTAATGTTCTTCAAATGGTAGGAATCCAGAGCAGAATATCATATTGAGAGTCAGATTAAGGATGCTACCCAAAATATAAATCATTATGGAAAAAACTATGAAAGCTCACCCACCTCCAATGTCTGCTTTGCTCAGAATTATAAGAGGACCTATCCTATTAATCTGTAAGGATTCAAACAAGCATATTCCAGCGTCCCCATAACTGGACAGGGATGGACTATGTTCAGAGCGCAGAGCACACACATGTTTTAGAGAGGAAGTTCCATCATGAATACTAATACCCTCTATTTAGAGCTTCTCAGCTTTGAGCAGATTGTACTTCTGAGCTGATAATTCCTTTTGGTAAGGGCTGTCCTGTGCATTGCAGAGGGGTGCACCTCTCAAAGATTTTTACACATCTGACAAGTTTAACTTTTATCTCCTAACAAGCCCCATGAAAGGCACACCCTGGTTTTCACTGTTGTTCCACAGATGAGCAAGCTCTTAACTATCGCAAAAGTTTACTTTCTGTCTTGAATAAAAGAATACTATATTATATTCCATGTACACTAAAGTGCCACTGCTTTAAAAAGCAGCTGCTAACACTCACAAGGTCATGGGCCCTGCAGCCGCATCTGTGCTATGAACTTAAGGGGGTCCTGTGGAAGTTGCTTCCTCCCAGACCTGTGTCACCCAGCTGTGAGCCAGAGGATGAACCAGGTGAGGATTAGGGATCTTCCCTGCTCTAGCATTCTTAATAAGCTAGTCCTCTGCCAGGAAACTTCCTTTCACTTTTGTTACCTGGTGACTTTTAACCTACTGGGTAATCACACATCTACCTTCTCACAAAGCCGCTGATGACCACCCTGTGTGACAGGCCTCCGGGGCTGGAGGACAAGCAGGGCTACCTGGTTCCTAAAGCCTCCAGCAAAACCACAGAATTGCTTCATGACCAACTCCATTCCTCTCACACTCTGGTTAATCTTTGTGTTTGAAGCTTCAGAAGCAAGTTATCAAGTGCAACTTGGAAAGCCAAGAGAAGCAAGCCATTAAAACGACCAGAGATCACAGACGGTCCCTTCTCGGCACCCCTGCACATCCCCTCCGTGATTTACCCTCTCCTGTGCCCCCTATACCTTTAGGGAGAGGGTATCCGCCCCCCTTGCACCGAGTCCAGGAGCTCTGGAATCTGCAGAACCCAGGTTTTTTTGTTTGTTTAATTTTTTTTTATTTTAAAGAGAAAAAAACCTAACAAAACAACAACAATGAAGACAAAAACAAACACAACACAGAACAGCATTTTTTTTTTTTTTGAGACCCACGTTTTAACTGTGTCACTGACTTCTAACAAACTTCTTCCCTATCAGAGCCTGGGACTCGGTTCCTGGGAACTCGCAGCTCCCAGGGACGTTCAGGGCAAAGTCACTCAGAGGCGCTGTTCACATGCCCCTCCGGAGCCCCTCCCCACGGGCAGTCCGAGGCCCTCCACCAGCGGGCAATTACCTGGTCCCACAGCCGATAGACCCTGACACCTGAGGCAATCACCAGCAGCTCCCAGTTGGCTCCAGACAGATTCGGCTTCTGGAGCTCGGCACAGACCTCCAGGAACTGCTCCTCCGAGAAGTGACTTGCTGCAGATGCCATCCTGCCTCATCCTGGGGTGCTTGGGGAGCTCAATCTACAAGGGATTTTACAAGAGTTTGAGGGAGAGGCGGGGAGACCAGGTGGTCTCATCATGATTAGCAGGGAACAGAGCGGAAGGCGGGACTAGGCCAAAGGCGGGGCCTAGGCCAAAGGCGGGGCCTAGAAGGGCGGGCCTGGGTGGACAGCCTCGAAGTAGTGGGGGTTTGCTAAGCAAGGCAGAGGGAAGATGGAAAAGGTAAAACTACAAAAAGGTTGATCATAGGAAAGAAGAGGAGGCCAGGCCAGAGCTGGGACTTGTAGAGGGAAGAAAAAAGGAAAACACTGATGTCAAGTCGGAAAGACTTTCTCAGGAGCCCACTCTATACTCCTCCCTTGTACTCCAAACCTTGTAGAATGTAAAGCTTCTTCAGTAGACTTGGAAGAGGACATGGACAGAGCACAAGTGCTTGGAAATCTCAGGACTCAGATGCTAGAACTGTAGTTCAATAAAATTTCTCATCTTCCTGTTATGCATTTAAAAAGGTCATTCCAAGAAGGGTTCCATGGGGTTCATCAGAAGGCCAAGGCCCCAAAACAGTTCAAAAATCTAATCCATAATGGCTCTGCAAGATTACTTGCCATATTGAAGGGTAAAAACAAGATTTGGAAGGTGCTGTGCAGGACTTCTACAGCTTGCACAATTTAGATCTTTGTGCAACTCAACCTTTCCAAGTCTCTTGGGTATTACTGTATTTCCCATTAGAAAATGATACCTAGATTTTTTTAAAAGGTAGGTAGTGCATAAACATCAAAGTAATGCAACTGCCACATGAGGGCCAATAAACTCTGGAGGCCTTTGTTTCCTAATCTGTGAAATGGGTCGAGTTGTGCCACGGTTGAATAGAATATTCAATAGAATAGACACATAGAATGTGTCTGCACACCATCCATCAAAGTGAATGGTCAAAGACAATTTTTGCTTGCATTACCACACTATATTGAAATCTCACTCTTTGTGTGCTTGAGAGAACCTTGATGATACATTCCTATCTATGTCACTTTACAAGAAGGGACACAAGATTGCTTTTAGCAGGTTGCTTGAACACAGCAGAGATAAGTTACTGCTTTATACAACTCTGTGCTGGTTCTATTTTGCTGTATGGGATGCAAGAAAGAAAGTGGGATTTTCCAAGTCTAAATGCACAAAGATTGAAGAGATTCTTTCCTACTGTTTTTATAATGCTGGTAACTTTCCTCTTATGGGTAAATACTTATTAAACTGAAATCCATTTCTTAAGAAGCCAGTTTACATTGAAATCGTTAGGTGTGAGTATTCCAGATATTGTCAAGGGATCCAGGATACAGCTGTGCTTTGATGAAACTGTGGCGTTATCACTATGCAGCAATAGAAGATAATAGGCCTGAGAACAAAGTGGCATGGAGCAAGACACAAGATATAAGGAGCAAAATTCAAACCGCATCTATTGCCTGTATGTAAAAATGTGCATAAAATTCAGGAGAAAAAATGTATGTATAAGTGGATATGTTGAGATTTACTTTATTATACTTAGTGAATGAGAGAATGTTTACAAGTAGCCCTTTAAAATTTTTGTTTGGTCTGAAAGATCAAGAAATGACTTAGAAAAGATTTCTCCTTGGATATTTGCCTTAATAGTCTAGTCTGTTTCCTTTATTAGAAAACAAACAAACAAACAAAACATTCCTCAGGAACTTCTCTCTGCATGGGAACTAAAGACACTTCTCTTTAAAATATAAAGGCTAGATAAAATGTACTGTGTTAGTAGACTTCAAAACCTCTGATGAAATACCTGAGAGAAGGAACCTAGAAGGGGGAAGATGTATTTTGGCTAACATGAGCTGAAGATATAAGTCAGAGCCATAACTTGCACTGAAACTGGACCAGGGATATGTTCATAGAGACGAAATCCTCTAAGAGATATCAGTGCCTTTCAAAGGTCTCAGTCACTGGACCATAGAAACCACCACAAAGCTCATGTCCTTCCTCAGGTGAAAAGAAATAAAACACCACTTAGGGGAATCGGACCTTAAACCTATGAGAGAAATATGGTTCAAAGTTGTATTGCCTGCGCTGTATGGGAGCCACAGGAAGATAAATTAAGGCAATACTCAGTTCAGGGAATTTGAACCCCTCAAATCCTTCCAGAATCAAAACCAAAGACACTTTCTCAGCCTGGAGACATGGAATTAATGAACAGAAAATTTTAAAACTTATAGTCTGACATTATATAAAAGACAAGGCAGGCAGGCCCCACCTTTCTCATAGTTAGAATGTTAGACTCAGCTGGCCCTGACATCCTCAGTGCCAGCTGCAACTTGAGAGATAAACAGAACACAGTCAGAAGTTGCATGTTGTTTTGTTAGCTTGTCTGAAGGACTATCTTCCTGGGACAGACCAGCCTGTGGACTGCGCTGCAGGACAGATAATATTAACAGGTAGCTTTAGAAAAATTTTGTGCAGTCTGGAATGATTTAGAAAATTTAGGAATGATTTAGGAAAAGTTTCCCTTTGGATATTTGCCTTAATAAGCCAATCCGTTTCTGGCAGTAAAAAACAAACAAATCAAACATTCTTCAGGAACTTCTCTCTGCATGGCAACCAAACTCTTAGCCTTATGACACAAAGGATGGAGAGAATGTACTGCGTTAGTGAACTTTCCAACATGGGTCAAAATACCTGAGAAAAGGAACCTAAAGGTGGGAAGACTTTTGGCTCAGAGCTTCAGAGGTTTCAGTCCATGGTCAGGTGAGTGCATTTCAGCGTGTGGCGGGCAGAAGCATCGTGGTTGAAGAGCATGGCAGAGGCCAGCTGCTTGCCTCAGGACATCCAGGAAGGAAAGACAGCAGAAGGAGCTAGAGAGGAAAGAGGGAGGGACAAGATGCAGACCACAAGGGACCACTCCATGATCCCCTCCCTTCAAGCAGTTCTGACCTCCGAAGTTTCCATCATCTGCATATTCATGCCATCCAATTATGACTCCATGGGTAAATTAATCCACTGAAGAAGTTAGAGGTTTCATGCTGTAACCACCTTCCAAAATTTCCACCTCTGAATGCTGCTGCACTAAATACCAAAATTTCAACATGTGACCCTTCTCAGGGGATATTTTAATTGCAAATTTTAACACATGCCCAAAGAACTTTTATATATATATATATATATATATATATATATAAAAGATAAACATATACTACTATAAACATATGTATATAGGTATACATAGATAGATAGATAAATATACATATGATATATTTACATATCCTAGCTTAAAACAGAAAGGTGAACTGAAGATTTCAGAATACATAGAAGAAGCAAAGAAAAACAGTGACACAAGTACTTGAATATTCTTAGAGTAAAAGACTCCACCACCACCATCCCACAACTTTCTTGGAGGAACATCTATTTGAGTAAATGGTTTGTTCTGCCTCACGCATACACTGAACTCTTCAGGAGAAGGGGGATGGTATAAATGGTTGATAAGTGGAGGGAAAGAAGCTACTAGGCATACGTGGTTCAGTCCCTTTTAGTTCCTTTTTGCCAACTTTTCACCTTTTCAAAAAAAACCAAATATATATATATACACACACACACACACACACACACACACACACACACACACAATTGTCTTAGTTTAGGGATTATTCATGGCTACAGGATGCACTAGCTGAACTTAAGTACATGGAGTGCTGTAATTCTGTTGTGGGCAAAGATTTAAGCCTTGTACTTAAACAGATTTATTCTAAAAAAGTGCCACTCTGATCCACTGCTGCCTTTAGCATCTACTCTACATTGATTCATAGTGCAGGTATGGAAAAGTGAATTTGATCTTCCTAAAATTCCAATGGACAGAAACACCAAGAGCTGTCAGCTGAGATGCTAGTACACATACACTGAAAACATAGTTCAGGACAATGGCATGCAGTGAAGTTGGCCCAAGGATAGCCTCAAAGAGACTAAATCCTCTAAAACATATCACTGGCATTCAAAATCTCAGTTGCAGGACCATGGAAACTGCAAGGAAGTTTATGTCCTCCCTGAAGTGAAAAGAATTAAAACACCACTGAAGAGAATCAGGTCTTAAACCTATGCGAGAGATATGTTTCAAATTTGAGTTGCCTACACTGTATGGAAGCCACAGGAAGATAAATTAAAACCATACTCAGTTCAGGGAATTTAAACCCCTTGAATCCTTCCAGAATCAAAACCAAAGACACTTTCTCAGCCTGGAAACATGGATTTCGTGTACAGGAAAATTTTAAACTTATAGTCTGACATTATATAAAAGACAAGGCAGGCAGGCCCCACCTGTCTCATAGTTAGAATGTTAGACTCAGCTGGCCTTGACATACTCAATGCCAGCTGCAACTTGTAAGATAAACGGTAATCAGTTAGATCTTTCATGTTGTTGTGTTAGCCTGTTTGAAGGACTATCTCCCTGGGACAGACCAGTCTGTGGACTGGGCTGCAGAACAGATAATATTAACAGGTACCTTTTGAAAAATTTTGTGCAATGTGAAATGAATTAGGAAATTTGGAAATCATTTAGAAACTGTTTCCCTTTGGATATTTTCCTGAAAGCTCAGCCTGTTTCCCTCCTTAAAATGCAAACAAGCAAAAACCTTCATCAGGAACTTCTCTCCACATGGCAGCCATAGCTCCTAGCCTTGAAGATAGAAAGGCTGGCTAAAGTGTACTGTGTTAGTGAACTTTCCAACCTGTGGCAAAATACCCGAGAAAAGGAGCCTACAGTAGGGAAGACTGACTCACAGTTTCAGAGGTTTCAGTCCATGGTCAGGTGAGTGCATTTCAGCATGGGGCGGGCAGAAGCATCGTGGTTGAAGGGAATGGCAGAGGCCAGCTGCTTGCCTCAGGACTTCCAGGAAGAAAAGACAGCAGAAAGAGCAAGAGAGGAAAGAGGAAGAGACAAGATGCACACCACAAGGGACCATTCCATGATCCCTTCTCTTGAAGCAGTTCTGACCTCTGAAGTTTCCATCACCTGCGTTCAAACCATCAAATTATGACTCCACTGGTGGATTAGTCCACTGATGAAGTTAGAGTTTTCATGATGCAATCAACTTCTGAAAGCTCCACCTCTGAACACTGCTGCATTAAGAACCAAACTTTCAACATATTATCCTTTAGGTGGATATTTTAATTGCAAGTCTTAATACCAAATTTTCAACCTATTATGCTTTGGGTGTATATTTTAACTGTAAATCTTAATACCTAACCAAAGTGTGTATGTGTATATATATATATATATATATATATATATATATATTTTTTTTTTTGTTTTGTTTTGTTTTGTTTTGTTTTGTTTTGTTTTGTTAGTCTGTTTCAAGGACCACCTCCCTGAACAGACCAGCCCTCTCAAGGTCACACTAAATTTAGCCTGCTAGCTCAGCTCCACACTCCTCTTCCCCTTTGAATTTCCCCTACATCATAATAAATGTCCTTTTGTAAGTAAAGCTCTGTGGAACAACCTGCTAACCACCTATTTCCCAATGTACGTAGACAATTTTAGAATAACCTGCTCTCAGGCTTTTGTACACCTTGTATAGTTACCTGTTTAAGCTCAAGCAGGGCTGGTGATTTTGAGCTATTTTTCCACTAGCCCACTATCCTAAATAAAGTGTTGACTTCCAACTCTTTGGTGCAGAGAATCTTCCTTCTAGTTGTTACTGGGTTCTATAACATTAGCTCAAAGAAAACAATACCCAGGGAAGGTAATTTGCAAAAAGTGATTAACCAGAACCTGAAAACACAGAAGCTGGTGGTGTAGCGCTGTGTTAGAGCACTTGCCTAAAATACACAAGGGGCTGAGTTTGATATCCATATGAGAAAATTAGAACCATATGTACAGAGAACAAATGAAAGAACTGCATGTAAAATATATGAAAAGGATCATGGAGAATAAACAGATGAACTGCAGATAGAAAGAACTTTATGAGACCACGCTCTTGGTACGTGCTGCACTTGCCAGGCCGCACAGCATGGTGAATGCGTGGTTGCCCTGGTTTTTGTGAAGACACAGATCTTCAGGTTAACCAGAGAGGAAATTGTGAAAATGTAAAGAAAAGCAGGTCGTTCTAGCCAGAGCCACTTGGAATGTGGAGAAATCTCCTTAGGAGAAGTCAGTGTCATCTCAGCTGAAGGAAAAGGGGGTTATTGTGGCTTTGATCTGGCCAGATATTTAAATTATTCTGGAGTTTTTCAACATAAAGCTTGTTCCTCCTCTCCTCCACCAATGGCCCTCTGCACGTTCCTGGGGTCTCCAGTTTTCAAAGCGTTACCCTTTGGTGTGCAGCCCTTGCCATTCACTTGTGAACTTCATCCGAGGAGGTCACCAACTTTCAAAGTGTTCTCCTGAGGAACGCAGCCTGTCTTCAAAATGTGTCCTCCATGGAGGTCTGTAGTTTTTCAAAGTGATTGCCTTCCTTCCACATTCCTTTCTAGGCATCTTCACACTGTGTCTGAGCAGGTTCAAGACAGAACTGTGAGCTGCCTCTGTCCCTGCACAGTACTTCTTCAGGGGGTGAGGAATACTAGGGCCACAGCACTATGGGAACAGAGACTCCTGGAATGTTGGAGCCGAGGGATGTCATAGGTGTTCCTAGTCCAAACCCTTCACTGACCAAAGAAGATGTTAAGCTTGTAGATAAACCACTTTTCATTTAGGAATCCAGCTAAATTGCTATTTATTAGTTTACAAGGCATGCCAGTATCTGGACTTGGCATCATTAACAGTAAGGTGGGCCATTCTTGGAGAACTGGGTTATGGGCCAAATACTCTACAGCTTCCTATCCCAAGTAAACAGAGGTGGTTAGAGCTTGGAACAGAGACAAAGGCCAATAGTTAGCAGCTCCCAGAGAATGCCACTGAAAAGGAAAATTAATTAAGGAGTTCTTCCTATTACAAACAAAGCTTTCCACTACAATCAACACAGAAATCTCAACACAAACAAGTGAACAAAATAGAAACATGACAAGATAAGCTAATAAAATGCATCCAAAAATTCCAAACACCCCCAAAACTGATCCATGGGGAATCAAAAGGGAAGAAATCCAAAGTCACATGGCTGAATTATTCACAATGGTACCAGAAGAGATAACCAACCAATAAGCTGAAGCTCACAACCAAGAAGTTGAAGCTCACAGAACATACAGTATAAATAAACAGATACTGGACCAAATAAGCAAAATGATATGCAAGTCTACATAAGACACAAATAAAAAGCTAGCAGGGCTAAACAAAATGATGCAAATCATGAATAACCGGCATACAAAAGAATTACAATCCTTAAAATTCCAAACAGAAATTCAAGAGATTAAACATTCTATGGAAAGTATGGACAACAAAAGGGACCTTTGTGAGGACAATATGAGAAGTAGAACACAAGGTAACTAATGAGAGAGACCTTAAAAACAAGAGAACATGAAAAATGGACCCAAGAGCTCCTCTATGATGCAGAGACTATTTTAAAATTAATTGGAATTAGTGAAAAACTCAGAAGACAGCACAAGTAGCATAACAAATTTTACTGAAATAATAGCAAAAACTTTCCAAGTAACAGAAAAGAATTTAATATAGAGATAAGTGAGACATATGCAACCCCAAATAGCCATGATCAGAAAAGGATCTCTCCACCACACAATGAAGTCGAAATCCAGAAGACCAATATAAGAACAAAGTGCTAAAGGTGTTAAAGAAAGCAGACAATCACTTACAATGGTAAACCCATTAGAATTACAGCAGACTTTGCAATGCAAACCTAAGAGGCCAGGAGAACAGAGAGTGAAGTGTTTCCAGCCCTGAAAGAAACCAATTCCCAAACCAGGATGGTAAATTGAGCAAAACTATGTTTCAAAATTGTTGGAGACATGAAATATTTCCATGATAAAGAGCACCTAAAGAAATCCATGACCAGTAAGCCAGTTGTGGTGGCACATGCCTGTTATTCCAGCACTCCAGGAGGCTGAGGCAGTACAATAGCCACAGGTTTGAGACCAGCCTGGTCAAGACAGAAATAATGAGAAATTCATGACCACCAAAATCAGGACTTTTGGAAATTCTCTAGGTTATCCTACAAAGACGGAGTGAAGCAAACAATGACAGAAGGTCTAGTAGAATAAACACACCAGGTAGGATGAGTAATTAAGTATAAGGGAAAGATGGAATCAGCAACAGGAAAATAAGGAAATGACAGGAATAATTCAAGACCTATCAGTAGTAACTCTGAATGTGAATGATCTCAATTCCTCACTAAAAAGACACAAATTGTGGAATGGATCAAGAAACACAATCTAATGGTATGCTGTATACAAGAACCCCATTTAACCCACAAAGATGCTCACAGACTAAAAATCAAAGGAAGTAAGCTATCTTGTGTATATATGGGGGGAGAGAGAGAGAGAGAGAGAGAGAGAGAGAGAGAGATATTTTCTTTTCCCTTCCTTTTTTTCTCCTTTCCCCCATCCCAGTTAATCTCTCCTGTTGAGCATTTTCTTTCCCTTTCATAATATCTATTGTACATTTTTAATCTTCTTTATTCTTTGTTTCTCATAGTAGGGAGACAATACAATGTTTACACATGCGAGTTTGATTCTACTAGCTCATTGAAAAGAATGTTTTGTGCTTATATTGTTTGATTGATTTTTCATGTCTATATCTTGTAATCTGAGCAACTATTTTGAAGATAACCATTGTTAACCTCCTATTATCATGTTTTGAAATTCTGTACCATTGCTTTTTATTGTTTATTTTCTCTTTAAAAAAAATTTTGAAAAGGTAAAAAAAAGAACTTTATGAAAGTGATTATATAATGCTTCCATAATGAAGAAATAACTGGAAGGCCCAGAAACTATAGTGAAAGAACTTAACACTATGAGAAAGTTAAGTGAATGTGGAAAAAATATATATATATGTAGACCAGAATGGAAAATGTAGGCATCAAAATTAAAAACTTAAAAGATAGGAGAAATTGTTGCCCTGCCACAGATAAACATGAATATACCTGGGAAGAAATGTCCCAGAAAGCATGAAAAATGTGAATAAGTAATTAAGAGACACAAAGGATACATCAAAAATTCCAAAGCTTTCTGACTATAGCTCCAAAATAACAGTA